TCCTTTTTGGGCCTTGACCTTCGAGCTTCGATGAGTTGGCTTGATAGCTCTTTCCCCCATAAGAGCGATTTGTGTTTCCGGTCTGTTGATTTGAGGATTGCCCTTCGGTGACCTTGAGAATACGATGCCCCTCTAGATTTTTCCGCTATTCTGCGGTTTTGGAACTTGACCGCCAACTCGAAGAGTTCCTGCAAGGTGCTTGGGTTTCGGATTTCGAAGTAATCTTGGACAGCAGGTAGCAATCTTGGTAAGATTATTTCAATTATCTCCGTGTCAGGTTTCTTTCCATACAGCATATCCGTCAGCTTAACTTTTCGCAGAATAAAGTCCGTCAACTCTTCTATATTACGTTGATAAAAACTATACAGTTCGGCTTCTAGCTTTGCTCGGTCTTTCACTATGGGGAAGGCCTTTAATAATGATATTTTGAAATTTTCAAAGGTATATGTTTGGCCTCCGAATTCTCCTAATAAAAATTTCCCTATATCTCTTCCACCATAGTGAGGCCTGTCCTCTTAGTGCAGACGTGGCAATGGCAACTTTTTGTCTTTCAGGCACAGGGTATAGCTGGAAATGATTTTCGAGGCCTTCTAAGAATATCGCCACCGAATTTTTTCCGTCGAAATTGACGTTTGGCTTGATAGATGCTCTCATCGTTTGGACCAGGTATCCAAATCCTTCTAACTGGTTCGCCATTTCTTGTTGTTGGAGTTGTACAGGAGCTTCCATCCAGTTTTCGGCCATCTCAGTTCGTAAGGTGTTCGGGCGCCAATATAATGTTGCGTGGCCCCAACTTGTCAGCAACAGTAGTAGTGACTGCTATGAACTGTAAATTACACAAACTCGTAAGAAGGGTTTAAATCCCTTTTTATTCCACTTTAGAAATCACAGCTGCGTTCACTTGACGCTCACAAACTACGCCGACCCGGCGGTTAAACCAAATAGAAAAGTACAACTAAAAATAAATGACAGGATGAATAAATAACGAAGTCACTATCTACGAGGCTCTATAATCGTAACTAACTTAACCGCGTTCTAAGATACAGCTGAGATTCAGCAAACTTACTGATTAAGAAGTTGAAAGATTCAACGAACTGCCGAAATAGGCACACAGGCCGAAACGCGCGGTTCTTAAAATTTCTACCTAGCAACCTTCACGCTCGCGATTCAAGAAGCACACTTACAATCTCGTTTCCCTTCTATTTAAACTCAACTTACTTCTGCTAAAATTTGAATAGACTGCGCGTTCTACTACAATTTACATACTCTGGCATTGGCAATTCTAGGGGAAAGTAAAGGCTTGACAGGAAAGATAGCTTAAACTTAAAATAAATGTTAGTTAAAATAAATATAAACCTTACATTTGCTGCCAGAATTGGTAAATTGGAAGCAGGTCCTAGAAACGACCTGTTGAAAAAGTTTCCATATTTGATCTAAACTCAAAGCTCCGTTTATAAAAACTGTTTCTATAAATTACAATCATTTCTAGAGATGAATAAATTACGATATCTTCTTACAGGATCCTTCTGGTCTTCAGCAATCAATCTTTTCTCTTCCTTCCAGCATCTGGAAGGAATAAATATCAGTATATTCGAAATACATTATGATTTACACTTTTTCAACACTGGATACGTTTCCTATCCTTTTCTTTTCCTTATTTAACTGCTTACATTCACATTCATTCAAATATTCAAACATGAATTTAACTTTACCCTGGTTCTCCACCATGTGTGGTGTCAAACGGGAATCTTCGTGTTTTTTTATTACAACACTTCCCCTAACCACAATGATTTGTTAACATACAAACGACCAAATATGACACACCTTAATCCGACATACTGAAACTCGATGAGCTATGTTTAACATTCTTAAAATTGAAGTGTAGGTGGAGAACCCTACAAAACACATTCATTCTAAATTCTCCCTCATTCATCTTTACACATGCAGGCTTTCGCTCTAAAGCATAATTTTATCTACAGTTTAATACTGAAATCTGAATTCGTTTATTTTGAGCATTTACTTTTAGCATCTAAAATTTTATGCTTCTAGACTAAATTCTACTTTTACATAACTTTCAAGTATTTACCTATATTTACAAAATTCTAATACATATGATTTTTACAATTTACCATAAAATGAATAAGATAAAAATAAAATTTTACTTCACGCTTTCTTCGCCAAGCTGGCGGCACTGAAACTAAATTTTTCAATTGAACGCATTGTTTATATATTTTTGAATTTATGTATATGTTAACTATTTTAAAGAAATATTATGTATTAATTCTATAAAATATTTATATATATAGTGCATGTAATATATATGTTTAAAAATTGAATATTTTATAAATGATAAACGCTGTGGAACCTCGATATACGTCCGCTTTGAAATGTGTCCAATTTTGTATGCATGCTGTTTGGACGAGAAATGTTTTGTTTGGTATGTGATATTTGTTTGGAATGCGACTCCAGTTCAATGAATCACGACTGCACACACTACACTTGTTTACCTCTTTCGAGACAATGATACAAATACCCATTTGTGTCAGTATATCTGTTGCTACTATTTAGTAAACAACCCGCTCTATAACTGTGAATTTTGAAGTTATTTTGAGTTAGGAAAATTAATAAGAGGAGTCAAGCAACGAAGAAAATTGTTAATATCAGTATGGAAATAGAAAAAGGGATTGCTGAAAAACGATACGTATGAATACGGCATGCATATCTGAGATTTGGCTGTTGAATACCGTATGCCAAGTACGATGGTGTCCATACTTATGAAAAACAAACACGCTATTAAATCAGTGAAGGTAGCAAAGGGGCTGAAGTAAATATCAGACAAAGATCATGGAGCATGTTGAAAAATTGCTTTTGATTTGGAAAACCATTTATGTACAATATCGTATACAGTGCTTAATTTTTGTACAATATATACGTACTTTAACCTCTACACTTATATTTTGTTACTAAACAGGCTAATAATAAACAGGCTAATAATAATGGCAGTAGAGGAATAGAACGGAAGTATAACAATAGAAGATTTTATAAGAAATAATGAATTATTTTCTCTATATTCTTAAGGGAAAATTTGGTTTGGTATACGTACAAAACAAGACAAATAATCGAGACAAATAAGGGAATATGGAAGACAAATAATCGAGTACCATTGCATGTTTATACATAGTGAAAAAATTTCTGATTGAATAAAACCCTAATTTATAAAATTATTATCACAAATATCAAGAACAATATAAATCTGCAACTTACTTCAGAATCGACTTACGACGGAACCTCTTGAATGACATGGTGTCCGCCGATAACATCGCGGCAAAAACATCGCGGACGAAAACATCGCGAAGAAAACAACGCAAGGCAAAAACATCGTGCTACAAAACATCGTGGGAGAAAACATCGCAAAGAGAAAACATCGTGGTACAAAACATCGTCGTCGAAAATAAAGTGGTTCAAAAACTTCCAGTTTAAAAACATCGTCGTCGAAAATATCGTGGTAAAAAATAAAGTATCTACAAATCACTGCATGACAATAACATAGCAGACATGCTTTTTTCAGGTTTTAATAATTGTAAATGGATATTCCCATAATGATTTGTGAGCGCAAGGTGGAAAGAAGGATAATTTTTACTTTCATATTCTTTATTAACTAATAAAAGTTTGCTGAAAAAGTAAGAAGGAAGTCCTTAATTTTGGAAGACTTTAAAACTGTAAATTTTCAAAACTTCAAAGTTGCAAATAAAATATAAAATAAGATTCATAATTTACTATAAATTAGAATTAGTGTTATAGAATTTTATTGTCATCATTAGGTTTCATTTTAGAAACCGATGTTTAAATACAATTGGGAAAGTTAAATTCTGTAGCCGATATGCTCAAATTTGTTCGAAATGTTTTTTATTAATTTTTTGAATAATGTTAATGTTAATAAATTAATGATTTTTCTCAAGAAGAATCTCAACAATTTTCTTAACAATCCAATGTTGATTTTTCTCAACTTTGGATTTACAAATAGTAATAATAGTAATCGGTGACTCGAATTGTGGACACTAAATGATCAAATTACGGACATTACAACGCGTGTAATAGTTTTGTTACCATAAAAATGGCTGAATTATGAGTAAAGGTATACCTATATATTATTTTTAAATTATATTTGGTAGGAAATGAGAACTCTTGGCTTCTGAGGCTAAAATGATACTTATTATGCAATATTCAAAGAGTAAAGACGTTATGACGTTAGAACAGTATATGCGACATCGTCGAGCGGAATTGTCGCTGTTGTTAAGGGTCAGAACTCTTCCAGTACCAGAACTATTTTCCTTTTGTTGTTGCACACACTACAACATCCACTGTCTCTTACGTGGATTAAAAATATGACAGCGCGTAATTCATTTTTTTTAATCCTAATTCTAAATAACCGATTTAATGTAAAGCTGTATGTTTAAAGCAATTAATCAGAATTTTATTATAAGATTGAATTAAAAAATAATAATTCCTTTTTTAAAACTTTAAATTTATAGATATGCGCATAACATACCTCGCATGCTCAAGACAACGCTTCTGTCATTCTGTAATGGTCTCTGAGAAATACCCGAGGAAAGTTCGAATGCTATTTTCCAGTTAAGAAAAAATAAAAATCTAACTGTGTTTTTGGATTTATTTCCTTAAAATAGCTCACTAACTTTCGAGAAAAAAAAGAAATATCACTTTCAAATTAAAACTTTGACATTAGTAATATTGAATTTGGGATATAATTTTTGCGTTCTTAATTTCCAAGTTAATGTTCTAACGCTAATGCTTCAGATGCTGTCCGTTACACAGTGGGTTACAAAAGGTTGGAAATTTAATTAAAAGATGAAAGGACTTCTGCTTCGTTACTATTATAATTAATCCTCCTATACCTGATTTGACTTTTGCTTTCGAAACTTTCGACAATGAAATCTCTGCCTTGCAACAACAGATTTCTCTTATGTATCCTCTTTTTACAGGCGAGTGCAGACTGCTAGATATGTCGTTCGAGTAGGCAGCATAAAAGCTATGGAAGGATCTCTTTACCTCATTGACTCTATCATCATTCATCCTGAATATAAACGAAGAGAACATTACAACGATATTGCTGTCATCCGTCTCAAAGATTCGATGGACTTCTCAACAAACGTCCGGCCCATCTGCTTGCCTAACTCATCCGAAATCCGTGGCAAAAAGCTCAAAGGAAGGGACGTTACCGTAACTGGATGGGGAGATCTAGAATTCGGTGAGTATATATAAAATATGAATTTACTACATTTTGTCTTACGAAACATTATTTAAGCATTTTTATCGTGTCCCTTAACATATCACATTTTAAAAAATAAGTTTTAAATATCATTTAAATATAAAAATAATTTTTAAATATCATTTAAAAAATAAGACATCAGTAAGTAACAAAGCACATCAAGGACTACTTAGTCATAAGTTCCTTCCAATCTGACTAGGCAATTCATTTGAGCCCAATATTCTTACAGATAGTTTTGATAGATTAACATCCGGAAACACACACAGTCATCGTTAAACTAGTATTAAAGCATAGTGAATAGTAACCCATTAAAGCATAGAGAATGTACTTATTAAAAGAAAGAATTAGAATTTATAGTCTACGAGAACCGTACTAAAAAGTTAGGTTTTATATTTCTAGACCTTTCTTAACCCAGTTCTGAAGTTGTTTTCATAAAAGCATCGTTCTTATTTTTCAAAACAGCATTTAAAAACATTTCTTTTTAAAATATGCTCCTGTGAATAATTAAATAAGAAGGCAAGCCTTAACAAGATTTTTTAAGCACTCTATATCAGAAAAAAAAAAAAAACAAAGTGCCGTTCAATAACATTCAGATCTTATTTTTTAACAACAAAATGATATTAAGATCCTTTGTCAAGCAATAAAGAAAATTTTCACTAGCAATTTACCATACTAATGAAATTATTCCGTTCCAAAAACCTTTTTGAAAACTATTTCAGTTTACATAATAATACTTTAATGTCCTCCAACAACTGTATGTCATGAAGAATATTTCCATATATACCGTGTTTCATGTCCCATTCAATATGAAGGGATTAAAAATCAAAAGAATTTTAAGTTGCCTCAGATCTTTGCAGTTGTCTCAACCATCAACAAAATGATTAAGATTTGAGCAACATTCATTCATGGCTCTAAATTATGGATTAAACCATCTTTTCGCTGTGTACTGCCCTCGATACAAACACACATAAAATTAGGTCCAAAACAGTAACTGCTAGCATTATAATAAGCTGTTTAATTTCATTGAGAATTTAAAAAAGATGACTGATGCACTTTTTCATGGAGAAAATTCATCTGAATTCATTCATAACAGTAAATTTCTCAAAATTATATCTAATATCAGTATAATCTATTTCTTTTTTATCCGTATGAAAAGGTTAGCTGAAAGCTTTTTTACGAAGCTATTATATTGTATAAATACTAACATATTTAAAATATATTTCGGGTTCATTTTTCAAAAGCTCTTTCAGTATCCTGCTCAGTTTCATTACTTCCACTTTTTAGTTTTAAAATAGTAACGTGCTTGCAGTAAAGCTGTCTAAACTCCGTCATTTGAAAGTAAATTCATATCACATAATTCTTATGTAACGTTACTAACGCAGATACTTACATTCAGCCCATAATAATGTTACAATTTGGGAACTGATACGTAAATAGCGATAAAGTGAAACTATACATGAATCATTCTTCACTTAGTCTTCATTCGAAGACCAGGTATTTCTTTTGTGTTTCTTTGTGTTGGTTTCTTGCTCTTTCTGTCTTCAAAAACATTACAGAAATGTAAGAAGTACCAATATAACCATTCAAGAACAGAGTCGTTTGTGACAATTTAACTGCGCCTGTTTCAAAAAATATTTTATCGAGAAATAAAGAATTACTCAAACGACTACGATTGCTACTACCATTTTTACGCATAAACTCCGTCATTATACATCTAGGCCATCAATATCAAAATTTTCATTACATGTATATCGGCTAATCCAAAAGTAAGAGATCAAATAAAAATTTTATAATTCCAAATGTGTAAACAGTAGCACGATGTTGTCTTTAGAGAAATGCACAAAAAAGCATAGAGTTTTTATATACAGACAGAGTGTTTATATATATTTAGAACGATTTCGAAGCCGTTTAATTAACATTTAAAATGTAAAGAGCATTTTTTAAATGTTCTATATGATAGACCTTTTTCCTGGACTATACGTCTGAATCGTAATTTCTATGATAGAAGAGATTTTCGAAAAATTTCCAAGGGGTTCGGTTTCCGGTATTCTTGCATTACTTTTCAGAATCCGTCAATTATAGTGGGTTTGCTTTTAGAAACAGCTTTTTTCAAAAGTTTAAAAGCACACTAGTCCATAGGTGAAATGTCAGAGGATTTTGCAAGAATATATTTGAAACGTTCATATGCAATACTTGTATCAGTCTTCATTTTATCAAGAATTGTAGTGGCACTTTTCAAAGCATGATTGATTGCTTCGTTTCGATGAAGTTTCACTCTTTGAAAGTCACTGGGATAAAGAAATGGAATTTCGTCTGTAAATATCGAATTTCTTTTTATAGTACTTTGAGTTAATTTTAGTATTTTTTTCCACTCCTCTTATTTTTAATTTTCCAATGTAAGAGGATCCTTCGACAATAATAAGCTCCTTACTGAAGCTATCTTTGTTTTGACGAAACAAGATGTGTACATCTTTTTCTCTCTATTTCGATAATAAAGAGACTTTTTTTGTTGTTGTTGCAGTAGTTTAGGTAAATTCGTGCTTCATCAAGTGTCATAATGCATTTCCATTTATCTCCTGCTGCATAGTTTTCATGCAGGTTCTGCGAATTGTTCTGCTCTGAGCGACATGTCTCGGCAAAAGCTGGTGAACAGTATATTTATTAGGCTTTTTAAGTTGTAAATCTTAGTTTATTACTTGGTAGCAACAGATGTATTTAAAGACTTGAGTTTTGGCGTCAGAGGATTTTCTCTTGTCAACGATTTAACTTTAGGAACATTAGAAAAAGTAATTCGTTTCGAGTCTTCTTCTATTTGGAAATAGTGATTGACATTTCTTCGCCTTCCGATTAAAATGTTCCTTATTTTGCCCTCAGAAATTTTAATACTGTACATATCTGTGAAAACCCACATAGTGCTACTGTCTATACTTTTCACAAAACGGAATTTCTACTTTTTCTCTTACTTTTGAATAACCCGATATATATTAAAAAAATCTGATGTGTTCATCACATGACTTCCTTGTACGAAATATTAAATTATATGCATTTTTTCTGCATTTCAGTTAAATTTATTGAATTCAATTAAATCTACTTCATCTATAGCGCATAAACCACAATAGAATAAATGCGCTTTTTAAAATCCACTATATTTATTTACCATAGTGATACTCTGGCGCTAGGTTCACTCAACAGCATTATATCTCAATCATTTTATAATTTAGAATGTAAAAAAAAAATATATCATCTGAAGAATTATGTCATCTAATCGTTGCCACATGTTCTATTCAAATACTATACTCAATCTAAAATGACGTATAAAAGAAATTGAACAAATAAAAAGTAAACAGTTTTTCACAGACGATTCAGCGCTGCTTACCTAATGTGCATACACTACTCGTAAACATTCTGCTGAGTTCAAAACAGACTGGCGACAGTATTTTCTGCTAATATGAAACACTTATTTCCTCTAATTTCATTAGAGATATATTTCTCATTCAATTAATTAGTTCTCACTTCGTGGTAAGGCAATACAAACACAAAATATCTTCATTAAAAATTTAAAGATATAGAAAAACATAAAACACCAAATACAGTTAAAAAAAATTTTTTAAAAATTTTACAATTAAAATTATAGTTTCCACACAAAAACAAGCAATTCGGTCAGCGAAACAAAAACAAGCAATTCGGTTCAGATTTTTCGGTGCACAAAACTGAAAGTTTACTTTTGGCCTCACTCGGCAAAAAGACACTGAGGGCGTAGAAACTGATTTAATTTGTTGTGAACGCTATGCTGAGCCAATATATGGAATAATTTAATAACTTAAGTGATAATTCTAGAATGGGTTATGCATTATTCGCAATAATAAAAGAAGACGTTACTTTGTTGTTGCGAAGCTTTCTGTAGATTGGCAACAAATCCACTATTCTGCTAAGTTTCAAATGTAAACAAATACGGCTGCCATAGTAAAAAAATTAGGCTAAGCAGCACTTAAACAACTTTTAAATTGTTGATAATTATACAACTATATGCAGGTTAACTAAAGGCATAAAAACCTTAACCGGAAGATAAGAACAATATAATTCAATCATTTTTAAAGCAAAAAATGCACAATTTACAAACATATAAGAATAAAGAAACTGAGCTCACTGAGCCGAGTAACAAAGTGAATATATATATATATATTACATTTATTTATATATTTTTGGTGCGGCCGATTGCAACCAAAAAGGGAGGTGCACATCTACATGTTATAGCAGTCCCACATACAAAATTTCAACGTTCTGAGGCTATTCGTTTTTGAGTTATAAGAGATACATACCTATGTGCAGACGCCACAAAAAAATCTCTTCTGAATCCATTTTAAATCAGTTTTATAATTCGTTTGGGTAAAATGACTTCTTTATTCTCTCCTTACGCATAGATGTCACACAAAAACATCGTTAACTGACATTCCATAGAGGTCAAAATGGATATTTGCATTGAAATTTGATACCCGAAATTTTTCTCGATTTCTCAATATTTCACTTCCTTTTTACTTCGTACAAGGAAGTAAAAATAAGACTTTTCAGATTCTTATGCAAAACGATATGATTAAAAGTCCGCGTTTTAAAACATCTAACAACGACAATATATGGAATTCATTTTTTTTTTTTTTTTTTTTTTTTTTTTTTTTTTTTTTTTTACTGACACGTATGCAACTGTCGTACGAAATTCGAAATTGAACATAAATTTCATTCTAAACAAAATAACTTTTTCTATACCCTTAATTTTACTTATAGATACTAAGTTCTATGCTTTATTGTAGAACTAATAAAGATTTATTCTTTGATTTAATAGTTTTTTTCACTTCATATGCTTTTAAAACTTAAATGAATTTTATTATTGCATTTTCAATTTCTTCATAACCATTTTCAAAATTTCTTATTGGAAGTTTTAGAAAACACAACTATGAATTTTATTATTTAAATACCTTTTTAGC